CCCCAAAACCCCAAAACCCCAAAACCCCATTTTAATGACAATTTTATAAAGATTTCATAGATAATTAATTCTAAATTCAAATGGAACCTAAAGAAACAAAGCCAGAAGGCAAAGAAGAGAGCACGAAAGTGCATGGACTTGACGAAAGAGTTCAAGAGGTCGAACGTAAGATCATAAAAGTCATCCTTAGATATTAGAAAGATGACAAGTCTTCGTCATAGATTCGTAGATGAGGTCCCTCCTACTGTAACGGTACTTCTGTTCATAATTGCATAGTTTCCAAAGACTATCTTTGACGATTCAAGCGCATCTGAGGATAAGGATTTATTATAAATAGAGATTCAGAAGATGAAGCTACCAGAATGGAAAGGAAGATCTTGCTTGAAAAAGTGCAATCTGAAAATAAATGCAGGGACCAAAACAAAGATCTGTAGGCTCTTTGTTAACTTTAGGATCCAAGAACTCACTGAAGAAGTCATGGAGTATACAAGTGCTTTAAGTAAGAAGAAAGTTTTGGCAAGTTTAAAGTTACACTACAAGATATATAATGCATCCTTATATGTACCTCATAGACAGATATAACAAAATACCGTTCAAGGAAGGTAAGAAAGAGCTTAACTCTAGACGGAAGAGAAGTCTATTTGATAAATATTGACTGGATGAATCTTTGGAGAAAATACACATGATATGACCAAATATCCAAGGGCGAAGATCCAGAGCCTGAAGATCTCAATCATTTCAACAAATACAGGCCTCCTTTTATTAACAATGAGACTTTGTTGATTAAAAATCATACTCGGTATTTCACTCCTGACCAAGGAAATTACTTGAACAATATAATTCCTCCATATTATGGAGTTGGCAAAGATTTTGAGATTGTAGATAAAGAAATTTGGAAAATGTTTGAAGCAAAATATAAAGGAATTCCCATTAAAAGGTAACTATGAATTATAACAACAGGTTTCACAGAGGAGATAGGTGCACAAACACAGAGATAGATTTGTACATTCACTCTTTTGATGCTGTGATATTCCCTCCTCTCAAAACTTTGAAGGAAAGTATGGTCACTCTTGAAAGCAAATAAGCTATACATTAGTAAGCACGATACTGTTTTAAAGATGAAGGAAAGAATTGCAGGTAGATTGGCTCTCTAATGTATAGAAATTGGTCAATTTATCTACAATATTGATTACACAAAAGATCTGGATAAAATCAGGGTCTGGAAATACACAACAGAGCACTTCAAAACTGATGATGACTTCATCAAATGGGTAAACAAAGAGCTCTATATCTCTGAATACAAGCCCATTAGTTTTGAAGATAAAGGTCAGATTATGGACATGTACTCCGAATACAAAATAATGGATGTCCTCTGCCTCCAGAACGCAAAGCTAGCAATTGACTTTATTGATAAAGATGATCAAGGAATTTTCCGTACCCAAAAATTTGAAGTATTTTACCGTGGCTAAATATCTAGGATAATTTCATTATCTCGAAAGGAGAGTGAAACAATTGACTAAGAGAAATTATCATAACATGCCAGTGTGAGTGAAAATAAAAGGCAGTATTGTTCGAATCAGTGCAAAATTAATGATATGAAATTTCACAGTGTCAAATGTATACTCAATTTACAAAAATGCGCTTCTAGGTAAAAGTTTATTACTACATTATAGCCGATGGAGCCAGATTATTCATAAAAGTACTGAAGAAATTAAGGAAGAGCAGAAAAATATTTCTGGGTTTATTGATGCCATTGATCAGAAAGATAAATTGGCTAAGTTAAAATTGAAGTATGATGTAATTAAAGAGTCATCCCAAGGACAGTCAAATGAAAGACATTCAGGTCTTAAAGATGTTGAAGATACTTCAAATTTAAATTCAGTATTTCACCTTTTTGTCAACTTACTCCCAAATCTCACAAAGCAAGAAATCTCTTTAACAAAAGATGCTCTTTGTGTGCATCTAAATAACTTGATCAATCAGATGTGGGTGGGATCTGAAGAACATTGTGTAGCTTGGGATTTGATCAAATTATTCAAGCTTCACTACATCACTGAAGACTGTTCAAACCATCCAGAGAACATAATAAAATTCATTCTTCACAAGCTGCATCTTGAACTCACCAAGTCAGATCCTGAAGATGAACTTCTCGATTCTATTTCATGGTTGATAAATCCAAAACTTGAAGAATCGTTAAATAAAGACAGTATTATATCAACTCTTTTCAGGATGACTGAGAAGGGAGAATATTCATCAAAAGTCAAATCTCAAGCTAGCTTCTACATATCGCTGGATATCCCAAACTACAGCATGATTTTCAACCAGTTGACTAAAGAAGGGACTAATGGAAGGCTGATCCTCAAGTTTATGGACTTGACTACGAATCAGAACGAATACTGGTACGAGGAGTTCACCTACAAAAATGGCCTCGATACAGTAAATCCCTTAATGAATTTTAGATATTTGAAATCGTCGCAAAATACACGGATAGGAAGCTTGGTACTGCAATCAGTAGAGAGTATGGGCATATCCAATTTGATGTAATCTTGGGCCTATAATCTATAGTTCACTCCAATCAAGATCTTCTTAATGCACCAGAATGGGGATAAACTCACAAGAGAAGATTCAGAGGTTTACCCAGATAGTGAAACTACAATTAATGAATATGTTGCCAATATCCTTGATGACGAGTCTTACCAAGATCATGATGGCATTCTCTATCTAAATGGTTTCTGCACGAAAGCAGAGGGATACTCTTTTGAAATCGCCATCAAAACTGTATGAGGTTAGATTTAAACTTTTAGAGCAACTTACCAATACCTATTGATGAATCAAGCGAACTTGAAGCTCAAACAGCAAACCCTGAAATCGATAAACTTAGCTGAAATGGTAAAAATCTAAATAAATATTTTAGAAGAGGTAAAAAGTGAGATAGCTCCTTTAACTGAACCAATCCCTATGATTGTAGCAGATGATTCACAAATTGACCCACAGAAGCCTTTATCAATGACTTTTGATGAATTGTTAACTTATCATGGTCGCAAAATATTTTATGCTAAATCAGGATCTATCGAATCGAAGTCCAAGACGATAGATTCATTATCTCCTTACAGAATAATATTCATCAACAGAAGAATCAAAATAAACTATGCTTACAAATTGAATAAAGTGAGAATCATTAGTTCTGAATCTGACCCTTCCAAACCATCAAAATCAATATTGAAAAAGTCGCATCCTCTTTTTGGAGAGTTTGTTGGTTGTCTGTTCATCAAAAACTACGCTCTTGACCAATACGAGTTCCTGGTCTACAACAACAAGCGTGGTCAGTATGTTCAATATAGCGGGACTAAGCTCATCAGCTACGAGTATTTCAAAGAGATTCCACAAGAAGTATTCTCTAACGCGATTGTACTGATCTACAAAGATCCAAAGTAAGCTATTCCTAACAATATCAGGATGACTTATGGAGAAATCAGAGGTTTATAAGAACCAATCAGATAGAACTAGATCGGGGTTTTGGGGTTTTGGGGTTTTGGGGTTTTGGGG